CCCTCACCCCCCCGCCCCCACCCCCAGTCCTTGGTTTCTGGACCTTTGTATTGGCCGAGGGAGAGTTGACACTGCATTTTGGTCACTGTTTGGGATCACATATCACTTTCTACAAGAAAGTGTCCCAGCTTCACAGGTGCAGTCTCCTGGATACTGCTAGATCTGTTTTCAGAACACCATTTCATTGTTCTGTAAGGCCAGCTGCTTCTGGTGGATGGGAAATATGATAATGGCCCATGGCTTGCCAATTGTCTCATTTCTCTCCCCAGGAAGTGAGTTTCTTGGTTGGAGACAATTTTATCTGGACCACCCTGTGTTATGCAAAGTCAGAAGTTCCAAGAATGGTAAAGTGGAGGCATAACCTGCAGGGAAAGCAAACCCAAATACAGAATAAGTGTTTCTTCCAGAGTGCATTATTCACCACACCCTCTGTGACACAAGGGACCTGACAGAGTTGACTTGCCACGAGATTCCTGACAGGTCCTCAAGAAGCCTGGTGCTCTATTAGGGCTTCAGGACTGTATCCAGCTTCCTCCTGAATTAACTTACGGTTTATAATACTTTATTTTTTTTTTTCAGTTGCTTTTCTTCATTTTTCTAGGTAGAGATCATGTTGAATTCAAATAATGATAGTTTTAACCTCTCTTGATTGTTTTCGTCCCTTAGACAGGGAATGTTCTAGAGAGTGTCTTCTGTCATTAAGTTGTTTGAACATCTAGAACTAGTTAGATAATAGTGCATATCTTTTCTTCTCCTCTAAAGAGAGAAATATCAGAAGAAACTCTAGAAGAAAGCTGTAGTTTCACTGGCTGTGTCCAGCTGCCTGGGTTCTGGTGGTACTTCTCATGTGCTAATGGGAGTTTTAATTAGTATGAACTAGGGCAAGGCATAGGAGCCTTGCAAGAGGGTCTTAACAAAATATTACCTAGGCCCTTTGATGTACCATGGGAAAGGCTGGGAACTGGCAGGTGGCTCATAAGCAGAACATGTGAGGTGAGGGATGCTTACTGCTGGCTGCAGATTGAGGAGGGAGCACACACCGTCCAGCGGGCAGCGGAGAGGCAAGGCCCATGTTGACACATACACCAGTTCACATCTTAAAATTCTTTA